TAGAATCAACATATCTTATTTCCTATATATATATATACATATATATATATATATATATATATATATATATATATATATATATATATATATATATATATATATATATATATATATATATATTGTCATGTACTAGACACAGAACAAGAGACAACACCCGATCCTGGGCCAGCTGTTCTTACTCTGACTTCATCCTTCTCTTCTTTGCTGTAGCTACCCGCGCGCCGAAGCGCCAGCGTCTTTCTTGGTCATGACACTCGGCCATGACTGCGCGCGCGCGGAGCTGGCGGCAAAGTTTCTGGTGGGCAGGCTTGGCTGCATCGTGGTGGTCAGCCCGGACCACAATGCAAGATGAAGCGACGGTCTGGGGAAAGCGTCTCTGGTGGACGGCACTGGCTGCCTCGAGCCGATCGCTCTTTTGCACGCCACGATGTCTCTAGAAAAAGTGCTGTGGACTCAGACGGCCGGCACTGGCTGCCCCATTGCGGCCGACGCTCTCGGCCATGCTGCGATTTGGTCCGGGTATCTGCCAAAAGTAGATCTGGTGGTCGATACTGGCTGCATCTTGGAGGTCGGCCTCGACCACGCTGGAACTGGGTGCCGGAGTGTGCCACAAGTCTATCGGGAGGTCGAGACTGGCTGCATCGTTATGGTTGATCTTGTCCAAGGTTCGACGTGTTAGGAAGACTTGGTGAAAACAGTTCTGGCGGGGGGCATTGACTTCCTCGCCTGGGCCGAACCCGTCTAGGCTGTGACTTGGCACGCTGAGACTGTATTTGTTGCCTTGGTCGGCCACAGTGTTGTTGTTGACGTTGGGCATTGGCATTCACTCGCACCTTGGTCGATGAAGACTCGGGGGTATGAAACTGGTAGTACCTCGGTGGTCTGTCTTTACGACCCTGTAACATGGTGTAGAGATTTGGTGGGTGACAGTGGGTGTGTTGGAGCAGTCGTTGCTTGCCGAGTAGACATTTATGTTGTCTGAGTCGGGTGGGGTGGTTTTTATGCGCATTTGAATGCCGAGCCGGAAAATGCTTGCGCAACAGAGGGTGAGTTTGAGTGCTCACCGGCCACTGGACACAATCATGATGCGACGTGCCCGCAGCTTCCTTGCTGTTATCGCTCTTGTTTTGACCGAGCTGGTCATGGCCTGAATAATCAGGGGCGATTTCCATGGTGACGACTTCATGGGGGTCTGCGCGACGTTTTGCAAAACTTGCCGTGAGAGACCTACCGGACACAGGTGCACCATCGGGCCGCTGCTCCATGACAGCGGAAATGCCTGTGCAAGGCAGAGCTACACGTTCGTGATTGTTCCCTACATCTTGGTCACTGAGAGATGACAGGATGGTAGGTTCTCGAACTGCATCCTCTAGGTCGGGCTTTTCCCGAGTTCCGTTTTGAGAGAAGGTCGAGTTGCATGGACAGGTGGCACAGGGAATCAGACCGAAAGCAGGTATGAGCTTGAAGCTCCACTCCGCCCATGACTGCTGCTTCCAACCTTCATACCGGTGCCACGCCGCTGCACCTTCCCGAAGACGGTCTATAGCCACACACCATTTCTGATTTTCTGTCCAGGCCTCGCGCATTGCTATCGCGTTGACGGTTGTCACCCAGCTGTCGGCGTCGTTGTGGACCCCGTAGAATTCCGGTAGTTCGCAGACGGCTGGCGATAGTGAGGTGGCAGGTGGCAACGCAGAGATTACCGACGTGAAGCAGTCGAGCTGGTGTGAGAGCTCGATCAGAGAAGACCGAAGCTCCCTGCGTTGCTCCGGTGTGCTTGCCTCAAGGTCGTATGAGGCAGCTACATCCAACACTGCGTTAATGTCACGCAATGCTGGCAACATTGTAGGAGCTCGCTCAGCGATCAATGCTGTCAGTTCGTTAGTCTCGGCGCGGAGCAGTGCGATGGTACGCCGCAGCTCCACGGCACTGTCGCACGAGGCTTCTGAACCGCTTTGGTTCGCGTCCGTGAAGTACGTGGTTCTAGTAGTACTCACGGTGGTGACACGCACGTCCAAGGAAGCATCAACAGCGTTTCTTGGCGGCTCATGTGTTGGAAGAGTTCCGGACAGGGAATGCAGGCCGTGGGAAGCTTGAACAGCATTCCCAAAGGACATGAGCCCGTGCGTATTGCGACCGCGAAGTGGTAGCATAGTGTCCATTCGGTGATGCCCTGGTACCACAGAGGAGGCATGGACACCATCCACCGATGGTCCGATGGCAGCTGAAGCGGTGGCCGGGTTCTTGAATCCATCGCCAAAGAGGCGTGAACGGCGTTCCTGGATGGAGAAGCCCGCACTGCCAACGAACCACGAAGACACGTACCGGTGGCTTCCCGCAGAGGGTTCACTTGTCGGCTTGCGCTGAGGGCCGCCGAGAAGGCCTTGACGCCCTCCCCGAACGGTGGTGGCAGTGGCGGCAGGTGAACAGCTTCCGAGGAGGCCTCGACGCCGTCCTCAAGCGGCGCTTATCGCGGCTGTCCTGGATGACGAAGCCGGGACGTAAGAATTCTTCTTCGTCGACTGCGCCATTGTGATGAGCGAGACAGAGAACAAGAGACAACACCCGATCCTGTGCCAGCTGTTCTTATTCTGACTTTGTCCTTCTCTTCTTTGAGCTACCCGCGCACCGAAGCGCCAGCGTCTTTCTTGGTCATGACAATATATATATATATATATATATATATATATATATATATATATATATATATATATATATATATATATATATATATATATATATATATATATATATATTGTGGGCGCTTGACCTTACCTCTGCACACCTGACCGCACTCTCTTCAGGCACTCCGCATGGTTTCTACCCTTCCCCCTGGCGCTCATCTCGCTCAGTTTGCTATTACTGCGGATATCGCGGCCACATTACTCGTTTCTGCCGCAAGCGCCAGCAAGGCGAGCGCCGCGATTACGACATGCGTGAACGAGATACTTTGTACTATCAAGGTCATCGCCATTCATCACCTCCACACCGGTCTCCCTCCCCGGCCGCATTGAGTGCACCTCGAAACAGCCGGAACTCCAGACGCCGTTCACCTTCACCTTTTCGCCGATCCTCCTCCCCACTTCAACCTGCCTCATTCGTCACTGCCAGTCTTTCGGATAACTAAGTAATGCAGTTTCTGGGGGGAAAACTGCATTTCGAATCAGGACTCATATTCCTCTACCAGGCCCGTGCAACATGATTTCGGTGGTAGTGGAAGGAGTGTACGTGGATGCTCTGGTGGGCATGGGTGCGGCATTTTCCGTTATGCGTGTTGATTTAGGCCAACGTCTGAAAAAAGTGATGAGCCCTTACGATGGATCCACGCTGGTTGCTGCCCAGGGATATATACCATTCGCCCTTCCGCTTTCTGTACAGCCCGCGTTTTTATTGATGGTATTCGACACCACATTCAGTGCGCCGTCGTGACTGATTGCTCTCACCAATTATTTTAGGGTGGGATTTTCTTTCTTCTGCCTCCGGGGCTATTTGGTGTGACCAACGCGTCGTCCACCTCACCATCACGGATTACACACTCAACGACGACCCCCAGAGGCCACTTCATTTGACAGCGGCGAAAGATACCGAATTACCACCAGGTCAAGAGCTAATTGTAACTATTACCTTCAAAGACATCCACTATGGCGACGTCTTGGTCTCACCATCATTTATTTGCGTCGGTAAAAGCATCAGTCTCGCTTCCGGCGTACTTCGCTTTCTCAATGGTTCCACACTTGTCACCGCCGTGAATACAACATCCGAAAAAATTCTACTACCTCAGAACACTACGGTGATCTGCGTGATGGATCACGAGCCTGCGTGCGTCGTGCCACTTCATGCCATCTCTTCCAACGACAGCTCTAGGGGTGAGCCTGCTTCTTTTTCCGCCTTTACTGCAGCCATTAGCGACGACTTGACACCTTCACAGATGCAACAGCTCCTTGCTTTGTTAAAGAAACACGCAAGTTCCTTCGATGTTTACTCCTCGGCGTTGGGCCGCTTTACTACTACAACGCATCGATTCCAGACAGTTGGAATATCTGTTGTACGCCGCCGACCTTACCGCGTGTCTCCTGCTGAGAGAAAAATTATGGAAGAAAACGTAGCTGACATGCTCAAACGAGAGGTAATTTGCCCTTCATCTAGCCCTTGGTCGTCGCCTGTGGTTCTAGTTCATAAGAAGGATGGCTCCGTGCGCTTTTGCGTCGATTACAGGGCGCTCAACAAGATCATTCGCAAGGATCTGTACCCAATGCCTCGAATTGACGACGCCCTGGATTGTCGTAGATACTAGTCGTCTACGTCTTTTGTGTGAAACGACTTGCATTTGTACGAAAGTCTTTTGTGTCTGCTTTTACGACGTTGGAGGCCTAGAACATAATTTGCTGCTGATTTTCAGTGCCTGAAACGTTTTTTCTGCCTATTTTAGGCGCCTAAAAGGCGTTATTTATTGCCTAAAAATCTGGCCTTTAGTAATGAGGGAGTCTGCGCCGGGGGCTGCACGTATGGACGGGGCTAGAAGGCATAACTTTGTGATGTTGTCACAAACTCCCTTTTCTGTTTCATCTCCTTCTACCGCTTTCCCAAGTACAGGGTGCCAAACTAAAAACTTTTTTCAGTTAACCTCCGTGTCTCTTTTTTATACTTAATTCGTGTGTGCTTCTTCATTCGTGACGTTTCTCTCAAGTTGAATGTTACAATGTGATTATAGGAGGTGGAACGTGCATTCTTTGTGTTACCTACAGCTTTTGTTCCTATATTTGTACACCCCATAGAGGGCAATATGTTGAATGACATGTTATCATACAGGCTTTGTTTAGGGAATGCACAAAGAGCGCTGCCACGAGCTCTAGATGGAAGTATAAAAAAAGCAAGATGTCAAAATTAATCAGGGAGACATTACCTAGGTTTCCCACATCTCATACCGCTGTTCCGGGACCTCTTACGATCTTGTTCTTCACAAAAGCAAACACATATTTGAAGAAAGGAGTTCTACTTACGTTATTGACTCGCTGATCACGACGACGAAAGGTGTCATGTCCGTACCGGCGACTTGCCAAACTGACACTGAGCATCCTACTAAAGATAGGAGTGCAAATATAGCCACAGATATTTTAGGACGACTGCAAGAAAAGCAAAAAAAACAAATCAGAAACACATAAAGTTAGCAACCATAGGCGTAAGCCCCTGTGCTGTAGGCACGTGTGCTCAGATTTGGGTGCACGTTAAGAAAGCCCAAGAGGTCCAAATCTCCGGAGCCTTCCAATACGGCGTCTCATAATCATATGGTGGTTTTGAGACGTTAAACTCCACATATCAATCAATCATCAATGCCTGGCATGCAGCGATAGATCGTATTCAGTGAAGTGCCCAATATTTTTCTTTGTTTATCCCTTCTGAACATAGGGAATGCCCTTATTATATTATTAGGAAGTTCGGTTCTAATAATTAAACGCGAGGCCTTTCATGGTGAATCAAATGCATTGATAGGCTATATATCGGTCGATCCATCTAACTGGTCGCGTAGGTCTTCGTGTGTTCGCGGCCGATTGATTAACTTGATGTATACCTAAACTTGGCGTGACATGAAAAGAGCATATGAAAAAGTTAAGTGACTGGTCATTACGTGAAAATCATGACAAGCAAGTCATGTACACCATGACATATGTGACCCGGTCTTGGAGGTGCAATGGCCATTTTTTTCTTTATGTGTGTAACACTGGCATATGGCATGATAAAAACACTTAACTAACATAAATAAGTAGCTATAACACGAAAATTATGTTATGCATGTCGTGGACGCCATGACATGTATGTCCTGGTCATGGAGCTCTAACCGCAATTTTATTAACTTGATATGAACCGAAATAGACATGGCATGATAAGAGCGCATGACTTAGATAATTTATTTGTGCTAATAGTCATAACAGAAAAAAATATGTCATGTGTGTCATATACGCCTTGATATACACGACCCGGTTATGGCGTTCTGAAGGCCGCTTTTATTACCTCGATTAAATGTGTGAGCTTAGCGTAATTTTAGCGAGAACGGCTAAGTGGCGAGAACGGTAAGTTATCAAAAGTTTGTCAGTGATGCTTTGGTCAGATCAATCAAGGCTAGCTTAATTCTAACTAATCCGAATTGATATACTCTAGCTATACACGATCATGAAACTGGCTAGGAAATCTCAAGTTACTCAATGTTTACTTGCTCATCATTATCGTCAGCCTGTCTACGCCCACTGTAGGGCAAAAGCTTCTCCCATGTTCTGCCAATGAACCCTGATCCTGTGCTTTCTGCTTCCACGTTATACCTGCAAACTTCTTAATTTCATATACCCGCCTAATTTTCTGCCTCCTTTGCACGCCTTCACCTTCTCTTTAAATTCAGTAATGATCAGCTGTTATCCTACCTACGCGCTAAGTGTGCGGCTCATGTCCATTTCTTTTCCTCTGACCAGCGATTATCCTACCTACACGCTAAGTGTGCAGCTCATGTCTATTTCTTTTCCTCGACTTCAACTATGACATACTTCACCCCCGTTTGTCTCCTGACCTACTCAGCTCTCTTCCTGTCTCTTAAGGATAAACCTATCATGTTCCTGTCCATTGCTCGTTGCGTTATCTTCAATTTACGTTCAATTCTTTTTGACTTGCTCACAGATAGCTTAATTAGCCGGAGTCGGTATTGGCTTAACGTCGCCTTACTCAAGCATCAAACTGGCTAGCCAATCTCAACTCACCCTAAATTACGTTGTAAAAGATTAGCTAAATGCGTCGAAATGTGGATTCGCTTAACGGGGCTGTATTCAGGCATCCAACTGGCTACTTACTCTCAACTTACTGAAAATTCACTTGTTCAAGGTTAGATTAAATACATTTTAGTATGTATTTTACTAATAGGACCTCAGAAGGCCACAATGAATAAAATGTCAGTGGTGTAAGTAGTTATGGATTTAAAGACACGACATGAAATTAGGCTATTTTGATCCTATAGTCAAGAAAGCACACGAATTGCAAATTTTTTTTTACTCTGCTCTAGAGTACACGAAATATAAACCAACGTAGTATTTGACAGTGTGGAAGCCCTTAAAACAACTTCAGGACTTTCCGAAAACGCCGCCTTCTTGCCTCTGCTCGCCCGCCTCGACGTCACCCATGACAATGGTCAGGCTTCTTGTTTACTGCTCCAAGATCCGCAAAATGAAATAACAGTGGTGTCGATCGTATTGAAGATGCTTGAAGAAATATTTCTCCAATATTGAGCAGGTTTGGTTTTGTTTTCGAGGGTCTAGGAGACATTTTGCGTGGTGTCAATTGACGACAGCTGGGCCGAAAGGGTTAATCAGGCCTTAACCGGATTGGCTTCATGTCGCCATGCTCAATCATCTGACTGACTAGGACATCTTAACTACCTTCTGAAGTGACTTGTTTGAAATTAGATTGAACCAGGCTACTCAGGATCGGATTAATGAGACCTTACGCAGTCATCCAAGTTGCTAGTCATTCTCAATCTACTCAGCATTGACTCATTCATAATTAGCTTAGTCAAGGTAAGCTTCATTGGACTTAATTTGAATAAACATAACCTAGTTGGGTCTAGCCTATCTCATGGTTATGTCATGTCATTTTGTTGCAGATAAGTGTGATGCGACAAAATTCACACTTACCCGACCTAAACCCGCTTAGTTGGTGCCGATCAGTATAGATTCGTATGCGCTAGCCTTGATTGTATAGTCCAAGCTAGTAAGGACGCGATATACTGGCTTAACTGGGCTTTTTTAAGCCCTTACCATTGTCTATTCCGGCGGCCTAATTGGCATCGATTAGTATAAATTAGTATTGATTTGTATCGATAACCGTTGACTGGTTAGAATGATGGAATTTTTTTCCCTATATCTTGTTGTCAAAGACAACTATTATAATGTATCTTCTCCGTGAGGTAAAGTTCGCACGGAGGCTGCTAAGTGCTCTCCCGAAATCTATTATTCACGGGTTCAGAATTTATAACAGACCTTGAATATCGAAAAAGAAAGACTTCTATGTTGTGTTTCTACGTTGGAACATGTGGAAAATCGAAGTGAAAGCTTAAATCAGATAGTTAGCCCCAATTACTGTCAATAATGTTTTGGGTAGAAGATAAAAACTATCTAATGATCACTAGAGTCCTATACGGCAAAAAAGTGCGATCTGTTAATCCGAAGCTATAATACTTACTTCCTCAGTAGCAGAAGTATTGGCAAGGTGACAAGAAAGAATTGGAAGTCTACAGATAAGTACCAGAGATGAGGAAACATTCTCTGCAAAGAAAAAGAAAACCGAATAGGCTATTGGTAAAATGTTCTCCACGCTCTCGCTTGTATACTTTTAAACATAACTGTCTACAGTGTGTTTTGTGTTTGGAATATCGGACACCACATGCACCCGAGACCTTTGGAACCTTCGATGTTCACATAGAAACCTTCATCGCTGCACTCTTGTTTTCTAAATACACATGCTACGGAACCACGGCCAATCCTTTTATATATGCAATGAGAAAAACACGTGGGGCTACTGTCTAAACAAAACGATAAACGCCGGCTCGAATGCAGCGAATTTTATTGATCTCAAATACTAGGACCGTGAACATGTTCACTTCTGTGGCAAAGAACTCAGAAGAACCTACTTCAGTGATGAAGAAATCATTTGTGTGCTCCGGCACATAATATCACTTTATTGTCTTGAGAATCGCAGAAGATATGAAGTTACAATCGCTGCGCTTGCAAACATTTAGCTGTTTTAAAAATGTCCCGGTGACGACAGCTATGATTTGCATGGTCTTGTGTCGCATATGCCCGTATTGCCTGAAACGCGCCAAAGAATGACACCAGATATTCAACAGCCTGTTCAGTGTAGAGCGGTTTACTTAGGTGGTATAAATGTTAAAAACAGTCCCAGTGAATGTTCCACCCACCGATCGTGCATGAAACCAGTGAATATCTGGCAGACTCGCTTGCGACACAGTAGGTGATAACAATTTCAAGGAGCGAGAAAGTGATTTTTTTGGCTGTTTTAGACATGCAAATGTAAGTTCTCTGCCAGATGGAGCGCAACACTTATTTGGTTCGCACCATTCACAGGAGACGCACGTGACTATAGATATCGGCTTGCAATGTTTCCTGGTTATGTAAATAGGTTTGCACAGGCCACAAAAATATCGCTGTTTTTGAGCTACGAATGCTACAGCACTTAAGTTATAACACAGTAACACTTATGTAAAATAGGTGTTACAGGGCTCACATAAGAATACACATGCACCGAGAACAAGTGTTCCACATGCACTGCGAACAGGTATATAGGTTTTTTGTGTAGCCATTGTAGCAGTGTAATTTCACCCATATAAACGTCTCCACCTTTCACTTAACCATTCTCTCCTATTGTTTTTAAATGCAAGTATGGGTACGTACATTTCTAGGCTCTACGGCTATTTGATCGGTAAGCATGTTTCTTTAAAAAAGTAGTCATTCTTCCCAGTTTTATAGAAACATTCTAACGCAGTCATGAGCATGGGATCAAAGAAAAAAAAACTAGACAGAACCCCAGCATTGTGGGCATCGGTGTCATACGATGCACTCGGCGAATAATTGTTAATGCTGCATTATTTGGTATCAGACCAAGCGTTACAAGGTGAATCGACGTGTTTTTGCAACTGTGTAGATAAGTGTTCATCGTGCACTCTAAATACTGTGGAGGGTATCGCAGGAGTAAAAAGACCGAGTTACTCTTCATAGTGTTCTTCTACTCTCGCAAATCATCCGATAGAGTGAAATTAATTTTCACTCTTTATGACACAAGAGAGTGAAACAGCTTTCTACTTTCTACTCTACCCCTTTTCGAAAGAGTAAAATGCCCATATACTCTTGAGGCATGAGAGAGTAAAACGTGGTTATGCTCTTGCTCTTGATTACTTATAGGTGCATCGGCAAACCGCGAGTGATTAGCACTACCTAATAGCCAAAGATATATGTAATAAAGCACACTGCATTTGCTTGTTGAGAATTTGGAGATGATTAACAAAACGAACAGCATTTCCAGTGCGCGCCAGTGAATTTTAGTGGACTAGAAGGCACTTAGAATTCTTGATATACACGTTTTTAGCCTTGGATCTGAGTCGTGAAATAAGTAACTACTACCTCATTCAATCGGTCACGATCAAAACAACGCAAACGGCTATGACATTCTCCTTATAGTAATATTCATGTTTTTTTTTTCGCTACGACCATCACACACGGGCGATGGCGCCGTAAGACAAACGTATGGTATGGCTACAGTAAAGTATGGTGGCTTTAGTCGTAGATAGTGAACAATGTTGACTGAAAATATGTCCAAGGGTGAAATAAAAAGTAGCTTGTTTAGCGCACACTTCAGATGCGCGATGTTTTTTAGGCAGAAATGACAAACCACTTAGTGAGACAGTGTAAATGCCGTTCATGTAATCTGTTGCACTATTTTTTTTCTTCTACTGAAAAAAAAAGCGTGTCGGATAGACGTTCTCATTTCTCGAAGCACAAATAAACACAGTAAACACGTTAGCTACAGTGCGGCTTGTTTTTAGAAGCGCGGAGACACTCAAATCTACGCGTCTAAACAAGAAAATGCAGACATATTACCAACATTACTTATGACAAAAAGAAAATAGAGACCTATTCCTCGTCTTTTAGTGATTATAAAATGGACTTCAAACTGGATTGGTACCCCATTTTGGTGAGGTGCTTGGCCTTGTCACCTGTTGTGTATAACGCAATTTGAAGAACTCTCGCTGCTGTACTGAACTTCAATAATTGTCGAGTGTTTCTTTAGTAACGCTAAAGCACTCATTGTCGCTTTGGTATTGTACCTATGCTCCATACTATGTTATTTTATGTTCAGTTTAACACACATTGTAATAAATACCATTGAAAAAAAACAATTCAGTGTGCTTTAGTGATTAGCGTGTTAGACTCGCAATCTGCCATGTGTCTGGCGGTCAAAAGTTCGAGTCCTCCTCGGTCAAGTTTTTTTCACATTTTATTTTCTTGCTTTTTTGTCGTAGCGCTCGTATTTAGTCATTCTTACGATCTTGGCATGCAGAAATACTTCAAAAATAATTGAAAATCCCAATTTCGGCCCAAATTCTGCTATTTTTCTTCGTGAAGTGTACTGCTACTCTCTTCGGTGGGGCCATGCTACTCTGCGTCGAGCAGCGTTATGTTACTCTATTGAAGGGGAGTACTTTCACCTGTCCTGGTGTAATCACTGTACTCTGCCTCAACAAGAAGTGATTTACTCTGGAAAAGAGAGTGAAATATGGGACAAGATAGTACTCTCCCAAAGAGAGTGCCCAGCACTTTCTTAGTTTATAGAGTGTGGGTTTATCAGGAACGTATACCACACTGTCGTTTATCGCGTAACCTAGGGTTTGACGTAACGTCAGCACTCAAGTTAGCGCGCACACCTCAGTATTATCAAAATGATGTGCACATTCCAGCGCGATGAAGTCAGTACCACACGTAACTTTTGCTAGCGTATTGCTTCGGTGTCGAGCAACGCTCTAATATAGATAACTGAGTCTCGGAATAGAAATGTAATGCATAATAGACTGCTGTAAAAACAGAGTCAACAATGTAACCACAATTGACGTTAATCCTACATGACGCCCGTATCATTAGATTACATATGTAGTGTATATTGCTTTGTTATAAAAGTATATAGCACTGCAGCATCAGTTGACGCTGCATCGGCATTACGCCTGCATATATTGCCTTCCTCCAAAGCAGATTAAAGACATGGCATGCTCTGTGGTAAAATACCTAATGACCACACAGAATGATTTAGTTAGATTCCTGCTGGAATCCCGATTTTCATTAGTTGCATTCATAGGGTCAATGTCGCTATCGTAGGTTTTTCCTAACGCTCTGGCATTTGCATTACTAATGCCTGTTCTCATCTAGGCGGATATAAACTGTTAATCACCTGTGGTGTATAACCACATACAAAATGTCTGCAGAGGACGCCAAGATATGCTTCGCATTTAATGACTATTTGCTGGAAAGATAAATATAAATGTGGGAGAAAAAACTGAGGCACACTGAAAATTCCAAAGTGTCTTTGACAAAAGCCTGTGGCCATTCGACTGACCATGCTTCTTTTCTGACACTCCCAGTAGAACTGCACACAAATTGAATGTGTAGTACATGTTTCGTTCTTTATTTTAACCATGAATCGCAGCAAAACGCGAGACTAATCTGCCTCTGTTTTGGATGCGTTCGTACTCTTATACTTTGCGCATCGTACAGACAACATCCGCGTTCAAGCACTCATAAGGCTCATTTCTCCTCCTGTGTGAGGAGGAGACACCGAAGCTTGCACCATTCCAGGAGACCGGGCGGACGTCGGTTACCATTATTATGAGACATTAAAGGCTTTCGTCTGAGAAGAAATTTCTTCAGGTGGGACACGAAACCACCTACCCACGTTTCTCGTGGGGCAGTGACTGACGGGGCCCGTCAACGCAGTACTCTCGTTAGAGTGAGGGGGCCCATCAGCGTAGTGTAATAATGATTACAGTGATGGCGCCCGTTATCGTAGTGAAACCGTAACAATAACGGGGCCCGTCATAATAGCGATGCAGCTACAGAGACGGGACCCGTCACCGTAAACCAATGGCTACGGGGAGAGGGCCCATGAGCGCAGTACTATCTTTAGAGTGAGGGGGCCTGTCAGCGTAGTGTAGTCATGATTACACTGACGGTGCGTGTCATCATAGTAATATCGTAACAATGACGGGGCCCGTCATAATAGCGCTGCAGCTACAGGGACGGGCCCCATCACCGTAAAGCAATGACTACGGTGATAGGTCCCGTCACCGTAAAGTAATAGTAAAAACGAGGGGGGTGATTATTGCCATAAATTTGTAGTCATTTTAGGCGCCACCGCCTAGCTGCTTTGGTGGCGCAGTGGGTTGACGCGAAGTTGTGAATGCGTTCGCACCGCAGGTAGTCAGTTGGTGCCTTGTTTTTTTTTTCTTTTTTCATAGTTATGCGTCAATATTGACATTGCGGCTTTAAAGGAGTCGTAATATTGATTTTTTGCAAGAAAATCGCGTCGCTGTTTGTGCCGGTCGTTAGCCCTACCGCGTTGATTTTTCGAGGTGCAGTGGGTACGTTGTAGGTGTGCAACATGATGCGTTGTTGGTGTGCGACTTCAGTTCGAGTCGTGCTCACTAGCCGAAATTTTCTCTTTATAACCTGCTTATAATATTCCTTCGGAGGCGAAAATGCTGTACGCCCGTGTGCTCACAATCGGGTGCACGTTAAAGCACCCCAGGAGGTCGAACATCCGGAGCCCTCCACTACGGCATCTCTCATAATCATATGGTTGTTTTGGGGGCGTTAAAACCCACACATCAATCAATCAAATGATTATTTCAAATAATGTTGCCTATTTTAAAGGCAGCATCGTACAGTGGAGCGATGGGAGGAGCCGCTGGCCAACGAGAACCTGGACGATCAGCTGAGTCGAGGTTCTTGCCGACAGACCCGGCCTGCTGAGTGGCTGCGGCCTTAGAGCCCTGATCTATCTATCTATCTATCTATCTATCTATCTATCTATCTATCTATCTATCTATCTATCTATCTATCTATCTATCTATCTATCTATCTATCTATCTATCTATCTATCTATCTATCTATCTATCTATCTAGCCACTTACGTTTGGGTGCTCTTGTGGTCACCCCCTTAACTTCGCGTCACCCAAAATTACCATGGGAGGGTAAGATGGTTTGAAAAATATGACACGCTGGTTAAGACATCAATAATGTCACAATCCCGCCGTGTACGTTGTCAAACACTTCCCGCCAGACAGTGGAACATACCCATGGGCGGGTATGTACCGCTAAATGCGGGTATGTGCCACAGGTGAATGACACTTAGTGATTGACACCCAGGAACGACGAGAACACACATGAGCAATTTTTACGCACGAGCGTTAAGGAATACCCAACGTCGGTAGCATCGACCCGACGAATGCAAAAAATAAATGTCCGGGTCCCAGCTGGAATAAAGTCCAAGCATTCTGCGTGGCAATGAAGCATTTTATCATAGAGCTACGCCAGTTCTAAGGACAACTGTTCAGATACACGCTAATCTTCGTGAAACGTCAATAGTAGTTGCAGTGCTGCATACCCAATTTTATAAACATTACATCAGTCCTCCTTTGATACAGCCATCACGTCAGGTAAACGTGAATTGTGGTTAGTTGCCATGCGCTGAAGTTTATTTATGTAGCAGTGTCCAGGGCCAGCATCTTTGCGAGCATCAGCAGTTCATACAGCTTCTGGTGCTGTTAATACGCATGTTCCAGTTGGCATCGTTGCGCAAATGCAAGCAACTGGTTACATAAACATGTGCAGCTCTTGAATATATGTCTGTACATTTGTACATAGATTTAGCGTCACTTCATGATGCGTCGCTCAATGAAAAAATTGCAACACGGTCCCGTTTCCTCCGCATGCTTTGCATAACGTCAATTCCCAGGTACGAGCGATCTGCTGAATATTTTTTTTTTCTTTGCTGCTGTGCAAGGTGACTGCGCTCAAGCTCCCTATGGCTACCTTTACCGTAGGATACATCGACGTAGGATACATCGTAGGATACATCGACGCTACTATATGCACGTTCATCCTTGCGTATTCGTTTCATCCACTCGGTCGTACCTTGTGGTTTACCCAAGCCCGCAGCTATACACCTGCCAGCATTTGCGAATTGAAGCGTCCCGTTGATAGGTCACCCACGACTTCGACGTGCTCGCAGTTTAATCACCGATAACGATGCGGAACACGTTTCGCTACCGCAAGACAAGCGTCGTCTCAGGATGGGAAGACAGCTACAGAGATCACACAACCGTTATCTACTGCACCGTAGAGAGCTCGAATGTCTATCTACGTTTGCATATTGCAATAGCACAAATTCATGGGACGAAAGCGACGTGAACATTACTTTGTTTGAAGGAGCCGATTCGATCACATTAATAATTCTCTGTGTGCGATTTCAGGCGAAGTAGGCCCGAAGTCGGAGCTGCATGTGTTGTAGTCATATGTATTGTGGTTTTAAGACTTACTGAAACATACTGCGCAACCATACAGCCCTCAGGGTTGGAACACATTCTACGTTGACCTGCACGACGTTTGGCATTAGCTCATATGTCGCGTTCATAGAGCGACACGAAAAATACGTGGAACCGATTGATTTGGGAACATCACATTATGTGTAACAAATTATTTGTTGGAGCTATGGTATCAATGCAATAGAACGAACCCCCCCCCCCCCCTGGGTGGTTGTTCAATTCGGTAATCGAGTTAATTCACACGCACACAACGGAATCTGCTCGCCCAACACAGCATCAATCTGGAATAATCGGGAAAAGTCTTCATTCCACGTTGGACGTTGAAGAAAGGGGATAGTTATATCCGTTATGAATCAACACGATTATATATAATTTAAAAACAAGTGACAATACTTGAAACAATACTGAGAGAAGAAAATAAAAAAGTGTGCGATTTGCACCGAAGTCGGACACCAATGACGCTGCGCCACGAAATCCACATGGTAGGGCTGTCTAACAACCGCCGCAGACAGCAGCATGACTTTATTGCAGCATTACCTTGAATAAAAAAAAGGGGGGGGGGGGGGGAGTAAAACATTCGACAACAGAATTCCGAACTGCCACCTTGGGTCACGACCACTTCCCCAACTGCTCCTCAAGCCACTACGGCACCAGAACACCTAGACGGTGGAGTCATAAATGACTACAAATTTACGGCAACGCCCCCCCTCCCCCCACCATGGTAGCTAGCCAGGAAAGATGGCAGACCTGTGCGTAACTTTTCTTTCTTAGAGAGCATATACAAAAACTCTAAGTAAAACTAAATGGTGCTGCTATATACGAGTGGCTTTGCGTTCTAGAAAAAATTCGTTTCTTTTTTTTTTCAAATGACTACTAGATGGCGTCCATATCTCACGCAGTGCCTACTCACTCCTTCGGTGAGCAGTGCCTACTGACCGACGCAGATAGGTCGCCATTTTTTTTTGTCCCCTTTCTTTAACACTGGTGCTTGCTCACCCTCAGAGTGTTAGCCAGCGCCGCCATGCATTTCCATGTTGGTGGATGTGAAACATGTGAGCCGCTAGGGTCACATAGTGTGACAGTGACTGATCAATGAGGCCTTGCAAGCTACCTCGACGAAGCGGACTTTCCTTCCAACTTTCCACGACGACTCGAACATGCCAATTAAGCCTTCGCGATGTATAATGAATGTAAACGAAAACTCGAGGTATGAATTTCTGTCAACCAGAAAAATGCAATGTAGCCGACATATGATGGGAACCAAAGAAGGCCTAGTAGATCGACCTAATTATGGTTCACTAAAATGAAGAAATGCTTGAGAGATGATATAACGTAGGAATGATGGAATATCGAAATTGATTCAGCCAAATGTTAAGAGAATGGAACTCTGTGGACATTTGAAAGAGTTCTGCTCATGAAACTATGGCATAGTAAAATGTAGGCATTAGCTTACGACCACTGCCTATGCTACATTGTGTTTTAGTAGGTTTACTTGTATTTCATTACAGATTGTTTACTGTATCAGAGTTCGTGTAAGTGTCCAACAGAGCTCTTGCAATGTTACACATCTTAAAGCATGAAGACAAAAACAATAAGCAGTTTGAACGTTGCAAGAACCACACCGGCGTAACACTTCAGATGCTTACAATGTCAGCGTTTATGTCGAAGTAGTAGTTCTGCACTTGCAGCAGCAAAACCAGCCACTGGCTCCGGAAGTCGTCGTGTAGTCTCTTAAAGTAGGCCATTGCATTCGGTCCGGACGCGATGAGTGGAGTCAAGTGCAGGCACATGATGATAAAGAAGACAGGAGTGAGGGTTCTGAAAAATTTTAATTCGTGTAACTCATGTAACTCTTATGCAAAACAATTCTAATCAATGGACTACGCACTGTCATTTTTTTATCCAGTTGGAATACATCAGGTTTTTCATGTTTGTGGCAACAGCACATTCATAGATAGACTTGTTGCCACCTATATTATTGAATGCGCGTCAGATATATTTCATCGGGGGACTCTTATTCAAGAATATTTGGCTGAATCATTGAAAAAATTGAAAAATGTTTTTTAAAAGTCTACTGTATGTGCATCCGAAGCGTTCTGCCTAACGAACTGAAGTTGGCGTTGTTGTGTTGAAGTAAAAAAAAAAAATCAGACGATAGGTGCACTGAGAGTTGATTCATCTTCGCTCGTTTTCGAGATCAAGATGAACACTTTCAATGCTGCTTTTCACTTTTTAATTAGAACCCCTGTGTGCTAGCGTCATTTCTCAGGATACGGGAACGGGCGCAGTGGTGATGCATCCTATGAAATCATTTTGCTCAGTCGCTTGTGAGCCTCTCAAAATTATATATCTCGTATATTGTAGTTTGGTCAGTGTGCATTCACTCTAATGGAGTTAGCCAGTGCTCCCTAACACCATTTTCACCAGGGGAACTTACACTGTGCTAATTCTGGCACAAAACCTCGACATGAATCTCAGATATGCGCTGTTAAAAAAGGTAGTAAAATGTTAGCAAATGCATCACTTACTACCTCAATGTCAACCTTACGGCTTGTCGCTGACGTTTTATCTCCGTAGAAACATATGACAGGTACTAAACGTAAGACATATTCAGCATCTAAGTGTTAGTAAAGGTAAGAACCCGTCCCGTACGTGACGTTTAGAGAACTTTACTACCTCTGCTGGCCATAATATGTTATGCTGAATTTTATGGAAAATTTAGGCAAGCTATTACTTTCTTGGTTATGCTGGAGTAACAGTTTTCTGCTTCGTAGTGTCAGGTATATATGAAAGTAGTGAGGTATAGAGAACATGAGTCCAGAACATCTACTGTATATCTAGTTTGATGGCTGCTCACCGACTGAACACGTGTTACCCCATAGTGTGGTTATAAAATTGACGCATGTATCCTACATGTGAACGAAAACGACGAGATAAGGATTTAACGGACCCCACACAGTGAGCCTGTGGATATTTGTTGACGAAAAAAACGCCCTTCCTGCTCAGCCGATTTGAACACAGTGTTTCACTGCCTCATGATGTTCTTATCTTTTGTTCGCGCTGCACCGTGACACTTGTGGTGGTGCTGGGAAATATACAAATATATCCTCCTTCCTACAAGTTGCTGACGGAGTCCGGAGTGTATGTCGAGTCTGAACTCTCTCCTTTCTCTCTCTCACTCTGTGTGTGTGCGTGCGTGCGTGCGTGCGTGCGTGCGTGCGCGCGTGCGTGCGTGCGTGCGTGCGTGCGCGCGTGTGCGTGCGTGCGCGCGTGCGTGCGTGTGCGTGTGCATGTGCGCGTGCGCGCGCGCGCGCGTGTGTGTGTGTGTGTGTGTGTGTGTGTGTGTGTGTGTGTGTGTGTGTGTGTGTGTGTGTGTGTGTGTGTGTGTGTGTGTGTGTGTTCGAGTTGCACCACGACATTTGTGGAGGTCACTTATGCCAATGGCGTAACCAAGACTTGGCACACCAGGCTCGTGCCACCCTCAAACAGGCACCAATCTGGGACCCATACACCAAAGCAATTATCGGCCAACTTGAAAGAATAAAAAAAGTAGTTCGTTACATATATAACTCATATGGACGTTCATCAATCACTGAACTCATCAAATGATCTGGGTTGGCCTCTTAGCAATAGGGGTACAAATTGCCGGCTAAAATTATTTCACCAAATAGTTAAATGGCATTATAACATTAACTCCACTCCCATTATCAATTATTCTCAGGGTTACGAAACCAGGCAAATACATTCTTTCACGATAACTTCTTTACTTCCCCGAAGTAACTGCTTTACTCATTTTTCTCTAGAACTATTGTTAATTGTGTAAAAAGGTTTATTGGGCGAACCAAACGGGCAGGTGGGAGATTGGAGATAGCGACCGGACGAGGAAGATGGAGGAGCTCGAGCGCCGATCTCGTGGTGCCTTACTCTGCGATGATGCTTGCTGTTCCCTTTTGTTGTCATCATTCCTTCATTATAATTGCCCCCGTCGAGAAAGATCAAGCCATCCTGGCGATCTAACCAAGTGGGAACGAGCGGGTCAAAGTATGGCTTCAAGCGGTCCACGTGAACAATATCGTGTCCACGCCGACGACGGTCACCGGGTGGCGTAAGCGGTTCAATGGCGTAATTGACGGGAGATGTGTGCTCTACCACGCGGTATGAGCCATGGTAATTTTAAAGTAGCTTGGTAGACAAACCAGGTGCACAGGGTGGTACATACAGCCATACAAGGGTTCCAGGGGTGAACTTGGCGGCAGGAGGGTGGTCGTTAATCGCGGGCCTTTTTCTGGCGTTACTGGTCAGCCGTAGTAAACTGCTTCGCTAGTTGGCGGCATTCTTCAGCGTGACGGGCGGCTTCAGACACGGTCGTGCATTCAGATACATCTGGTGCGTATGGCAGCAAAGTGTCAATTGTGTGCGATGGTTGACGTCCGTATAGAAGTTAGAATGGAGAAAAGCCGGTGGTGACTTGGGTAGCGGTGTTGTACGCGTAGGTCGCAAACGGAAGAACCAGGTCCCAGTTTGTTTGGTCAGATGCCACATGCGTCGCGAGCATGTCACCTAGGGTCCGATTAAACCGCTCAGTCAGGCCATTCGTCTGAGGGTGGTAAGCAGTAGTCATCCGGTGTACAATATGGCACTGACGGAGAAGTGCTTGGATTACGTCGGATAGAAATACACGGCCCCGGTCACTGAGGAGCTCGCGAGGAGGGCCGTGACGCAACACAAACCGATGGAGGATGAAAGATGCGACGTCCTGAGCGGTCGCCGTAGGAAGAGCAGCGGTTTCGGCGTACCGTGTCAGGTGATCTACAGCAACGATAGCCCACCGGTTACCTGCTGTGGTCAATGGCAGTGGTCCATAAAGGTCGATTCCGACACGATCGAATGGGCGGTCAGGGCACGCAAGCGGCTGTAGTGGAGCTGCTCCTGCATTCGGTGGCTGTTTTCGTCGCTGACACTTGTGGCAGCCGCGAATAAACTGTCGAACAAAAGTAAACATCCAACGCCAGTAGTACCGCTTCCTTAAACGCTCGTAGGTCTTGAAGACACCGGCGTTAGCGCATTGCGGGTCGGAGTGAAATGATGCACAGATTGTAAAGCGCAGCTTTCGGGGAATAACGAGCAGCCACTTCCTGCCGTCTGGTGAGTAATTGCGCCGGTACAAGAGGCCACCTCGAATGGTGAAGTGCGAAGCCTGGCGTCGCATTGCTCGATTGATGTGAAGTGTCGGTACCCCAGATAAGACGTCCAGAAGCGAAGTTATCCATGGATCGTCGCGCTGTGCAGAGGTCATTGTGTCGATGTCAAGAGCGGACAGCGCGTGTTCCATAGAAGATATAGAGGCAGCCTCAGTCGACAGTGGTGATTGCGAGAGCGCATCAGCATCGGCATGTTGGCGGCCGGAACGGTACACGACGCGGATGTCATACTCTTGAAGTCGCAGAGCCCAACGGGCAAGGCGACCTGATGGATCCTTCAGCGACGACAACCAACATAAGGCATGATGGTCTGTAACTACAGCAAAGGTGCGGTCATATAAGTATGGGCGAAATTTCACAATTGCCCAAAGTATGGCTAAGCACTCTTTTTCGGTAACACTGTAGTTTACCTCAGCCTTGTTGAGCGTTCTGCTGGCGTAGGCGACGACATATTCAGGGGATCCAGGCTTGCGTTGAGCGAGAACTGCACCGAGACCGACACCGCTGGCGTCTGTATGGATTTCAGTTGCAGCCGTGGGATCATAGTGGCGCAATATTGGCGGTGATGTCAGGAGACGGCGAAGAGTGGTAAATGCGTTATCACATTCGGAAGCCCATGATGAGATGTCGTCGGCACTGCTTAAAAGTTGGGTCAAAGGGGCAATTATGGAGGCAAAGTTGCGCACAAACCGACGAAAGTAGGAGCACAATCCTACGAAGCTGCGTAACTGTTTTACAGTCGTTGGTTTGGGGAATTCAGCAACAGCGCGTAGTTTAGCCGGGTCGGGAAGAACACCATCCTTTGATACGACGTGACTGAGAATGGTGAGCGTCCCAGCAGCGAAGTGGCATTTCTTGAAATTCAGTTGGAGCTGCGCATTTTTCAGACACGTGAGGACGCGTTTCAGGCGTACGAGGTGTGTTGCGAAATCAGGTGGAAAGACGACGATATCGTCGAGGTAGCAGAGGCATATGTTCCATTTCAAACCCCGCAGAACCGAGTCCATCATGCGCTCGAATGTGGCCGGCGCATTGCAGAGGCCGAAGGGCATGACATTGAACTCATATAGCCCGTCCGTTGTCACGAATGCTGTTTTTGGACGATCACCATCTGCTAAGGGCACCTGCCAATACCCCGAACGCAAATCTAACGACGAAAAAAACTCGGCACCTTGTAAGCAATCAAGGGCGTCATCAATCCTGGGCAAAGGGTATACGTCTTTGCGAGTGATCTTATTTAAGCGCCTGTACTCAACGCAGAAGCGAATTGTACCATCCTTCTTCTTAACAAAAACGACAGGTGATGCCCATGGACTTTGGGAAGGTCGGATAACGTCGCGCTTGAGCATATCGTCAACGTGTTCGGTGATAACCTGACGTTTCGTGGCGGAAACACGGTATGGTCGCTGTCGTACTGGCGCGTTGGAACCTGTGTCGATGCAGTGGAAAAAACTGGGAGTTCGGCCAAGGGTAGGTTGAGCAACGTCAAAGGATTCACGAAACTGGTAGAGCAGCTGAAGGAGCTCAGAGCGTTCAGATGGCGATAGTCCGTCGGCAATCGATGAATCGAAAAGCTCGCAAGGTGGTAT